CTAACTCACAGATCGAACCCTAAAACAACCTCTGGGCTGATCTAAGTCAGGGCATGGCTAACTCACAGATTGAACCCTGAAACAACATCTAGGCTGATTAACGTCACTGGGGCACAACTGGGCTTTGGGGAGCGAGGAAAACCGGAGAACCTGGAGAAAACCCTTGAATGACAGACAAACGTTCTAGTCATATCAAAGGGATATTGAGTACATGAATCGAAGGACAATACATGCATGAAGTATAAATGAATGAATAGCAAGCAAATTCAAAAGATAATCAAAGGAAAATTATTCAAATCACAAAAGAAAGATAAAATTCAGAAGAGAAATAGGAAATGATTTCATTTAGAGCTGTTGGACCGTTTATTGTCAATGTGATGATCGTTAATCATCCCTTTGGCAAAATTCATTTACCCATTAGTCGAGAACCCGCGTGTTGTTTCAGAAATGATTCAAGTTAATTTCGTAAACAGAGCTTGGCATGCCACTGGGTAGCAGACAATTAGTAAGACGGGATGCTATAAAGTGAAAAAAAAAAAAAGATCTCAAGATAAGGAAATTATAATGACAAAAAAACCCGTCTCACAATAGTCATTCAAATGATGAGGAAATTAATCAGTATTGATTCTTGTTGGGAGCGTATTTCATAACAACTTTTCTTTCCTTCCTTCCTTTCTATGCTGCTATCTTGATCTTGAAATCTTAAGTGACAGCTATTATAAAACTAATCGAATTGCTTTTCATATTTCAATGAGATAATATCCGATTCGGCTAAATGTATAGGCAAACTTTTGAGCGAAAGAGCGGTTTGTATATAGCATTACCCCATCCCTCTCGGCGTTTACCATTTGGTACAAAACTGATTTGCTCTTTTGTTGCTCTTTGCGTTTTTTCCTGGCTCTTTAAAACTTTTTTAGGTTTTGGGTGAACAAGGACAAGCACAATAAAAATAAGTTAAACCACAACTAGATAAAAATAGCTGCCTGCTTAAATTAACTAAACTTAACCAATATATACCACATCGATCTGTCAGTTTTGGGATGTGTAAAGGGTCGACATTCCTGGCGCCAATGTTAATTGAAAGTATATATTAAAAAAAGCTTTCCCGTGTGGATCTTTTCTTACTTTAATCCTTACCCAACGGCCTAAGGGTAAATACATATCTTCAATAGCCTTTAGGCCCTTATTACTTATTTTATACTTGGTATGGTAAAAACATTTTATGATGTTCTTTGTTTCTTTATCTGCCCTGAACATGCATTAGCTAACCAAATAGACATGCGCTAGATATGTGCGCACATAGACCTTGGCTGCGCACATCTTCAACACCACACCAGTTATTCGTTTTTCTACAACAGTGGCTTCTGTTAGGCCCAACTATGAACGTTTTGCATAGAAAAAAAAAATGGTAGATTGACTCGACCTTTTTGTTTATACTTCAAGAACACTGTACGAGAGCTACTCAATCGATATTGGGCCAGGCGGCGCAAACATGACACATCTAAAGAAAGTCCTGACCGTCTGATAGCCATGCACAACATGAAGGACGAAGTGTCGGATATGTTAAGCGAGATTCGTAACATTCTAAAGTCAAGGGGTCGAACCAAGAATAGAGAACGACTTGCCAGGATTGAGGAAACAATGGAACAGGTTGGTCACATTGCACCGCACCGCACCGCACCGCACCGCACCGCACCGCACCGCACCGCACC